ACAGAGACAGAGATAGTCAGAGAAGAGACGAGGGAGAGAGAGACAGAGAAAGAGACTAGATGACGACAGAGAGAGACAGAGGAGACAGAGATTAGACTTAGAGAGAGAGATATATATTTAAAACAATGAATATGACTGGAAAAATTATGGTTAGACATTTCTCAATCTGAAATTCTAAACTTTCTAAGACATAACTGAGGCACTTACATTTATTAACCGTTCAAATGGCGGAAAGACTGAGGCCCTCCCGCTGTTCCCATGGTTACAGTCATGTCACCTTTGCAAATTATGACATTTTTGTTCTTTTCTGTGACAAAAGCGGTCCTCGAAGGGTTATGCAAAACGTCGGCATGTGACACGGTGCATTGCATTAGATGACTAATGGCCAGCGCGCGGTTCCTGTTCCTCCAAACGCCGCGAAAGAAACGCCGAAAGGAAGAAAGTCGGTTACCGTGGCGACGCACACGCAGACAATGGGTACAGGGGAAGTGAGAGAGGTCGCCATGGAAACGGGCTGAGGACCCCGTCACGCTGATGTTCCATGGTTAAAAAAATTGGGCTGAAATCCCGATCGCAGACTGTTTCTTTCTTATTCTGTTCAGATGCTAGACAAAAACTCACTCGTTTTAAAACAGTAATTTAATCATATTTGCTCTTTGTGGATCATCAACTGTCATTCTTGACCTCAAAGAAATACTTTTATGTGGAACAAGTGTGTGTAGTTTTATAGTTTAGAGTCTTATGCTTGAGATTTTACACTTGCTTCTTTCTATGCTAAAGCTAGAGATTTTATACTAGCTTCTTTATCATGCTAACGCTACAGATTTTATACTAGCTTCTTTATTATGCTAACGCTACAGATTTTTTCTTGCTTCTTACTATGCTAAAGCTAGGATTTTATACTAGCTTGTTTTATTATGCGGAAAGCTAGAGATTTTAGACTTTCTTCTTTATTATCTGAATGCTATCAACAGTAAACCTACTCTACATCCACGGCTGCAGCGCGGAAACCTTCTAAATTGTTGTTCGACTTATCGCCGTTTCAGTCAATACCAAACAATTGAACTTTTCTATAGCTGTGTGCAATGGCCTGGATTCAAATCCCTTTCACATCTGTGTTACATACAGAGTTAGCTACAGTCAGCTACAGTTAGCAGATTAGCCTAGCTCTTACCAACCAGAGCACAAGTTATTAGTCATTTCAATCCAAAACACATAATTTGAAGTGAAATTGTTCAATATAAAATGTGTTAAACGTTTTATTTGATCCAGTTTTGGTCCAATCTAAACAAATAAAATGTGTAAAGAAAAATGTTTATAAGAAAATTAAATCTCTTCTATTGGTTCGGCCCGACCAGTTCCTACTTTTTTATTCGGCCCCTGACCAAAAGAGATAGCAACATTTGCGGTCTCCTGACCATCACCGTGTCCTGTTGCTATTCAGTGTACTACATCTCTCTCATATCCCTCCTCCCCCTCCCGTCCCACCCTATCCTTTTTCCCCACCGTTTTTCTATTCGTATTCCGGGCCCGCGCCGTCTCCCGCTCCGATTTTCGTGGTTTTTGTTAATTTGTCGTGATGCCCTTTCCGTGTGTTTTCCCCGTTTTGGACCCCTCCCCTCCGTTCTCCCTCCGTAATCCCGACCGTTATCTGGTTTTTTATGCGCCCCTGTTACCCGTTCCCGCCTCGCACCCCGTCCGTCGATCCTATTCCGTTATTTCCCCCTCATCCGCTCCGTTTCCCCCCCGCGCGTTTTCCGGTTTTTTTTTTGTTGTTGTGAGAGGAGATTAACACAGAAATAGCAACAGACACGGAGAAATTTTCTGCGACCCCCCCCGCAAATGTATCAAACTCATTTTGGTCAGGGGCCGAATAAAAAAGTAGGAACTGGTCGGGGCCGAACCAATAGAAGAGATTTAATTTTCTTATAAACATTTTTCTTTACACATTTTATTTGTTTAGATTGGACCAAAACTGGATCAAATAAAACGTTTAACACATTTTATATTGAACAATTTCACTTCAAATTATGTGTTTTTGGATTGAAATGACTAATAACTTGTCTCTGGTTGGAAGAGCTAGGCTAATCTGCTAACTGTAGCTGACTGTAGCTAACTCTGTATGTAACACAGATGTGAAGGTGATTTGAATCCAGGCCATTGCACACAGCTATAGAAAAGTTCAATTGTTTGGTATTGACTGAAACGGCGATAAGTCGGAACAACAATTTAGAAGGTTCCGCGCTGCAGCCGTGGATGTAGAGTATGTTTACTGTGATAGCATTCAGATAATAAAGAAGAAAGTCTAAAATCTCTAGCTTTCGCATAATAAAACAAGCTAGTATAAAATCTAGCTTTAGCATAGTAAGAAGCAAGAAAAAATCTGTAGCGTTAGCATAATAAAGAAGCTAGTATAAAATCTGTAGCGTTAGCATGATAAAGAAGCTAGTATAAAATCTCTAGCTTTAGCATAGAAAGAAGCAAGTTTAAAATCTCAAGCATTAGACTCTAAACTATAAAACTACAACAACTTGTTCCACATAAAAGTATTCTTTGAGTCAAGAATTACAGTTGATGATCCACAAAGAGCAAATATGATTAAATTACTGTTAAAACGAGTGATTTTTGTCTAGCATCTGAACAGAATAAGAAAGAAACAGTCTGCGATCGTGATTTCAGCCCAATTTTTAACCATGGACATCAGCGTGACTGGTCCTCAGCCCGTTTCCATGGCGACCTCTCTCACTTCCCCTGTACCCATTGTCTGCGTGTGCGTCGCCACGGTAACCGACTTTCTTCCTTTCGGCGTTCGCGGCGTTTGGAGGAACAGGAACCGCGCGCTGGCATTAGTCATCTAAGTGCACCGTGTCACATGCCGACGTTTGCATAACCTTCGAGGACGCTTTTGTCACAGAAAAGAACAAAAATGTCATAATTTGCAAAGGTGACATGACTGTAACCATGGGAACAGCGGGAGGGCCTCAGTCTTTCCGCCATTTGAACGGTTAATAAATGTAAGTGCCTCAGTTATGTCTTAGAAAGTTTAGAATTTCAGATTGAGAAATGTGTCTAACCTTAATTTTTCCAGTTCAGTATTATTGTTTTAAATATTTATTCTCTCTCTCTCTCGTAGGGTGGGGTAAAAGGGGTTGGTGTATCCATGGTGGTTTTTCTATCTTTCTCAGTGGCTCTAATTAGCGCTGTCTCTCTCTGGGGGCTACCATGCTCTCGCTGCTCTGGTGGTGTACGTTATTCGCGGAGGGGTCGTGTCGCTTTATGCTGGTGTTATCTGCTCTCCGGCGGGGATCCTCGCCCCGTCGCGGGCTTAGGAGCGAGGTGCTCTGGATTTACCTCTACTAGGTTGTTCGCTCTATCTCGCCTCTGCTCCGTTCTCCTTCTTTTCTCTCGTGGGTTGTGTGGTGTTGGTTGTGTCCTAGGTCTGCGTCCTCCTCTGTCTAAATTCCTCCTTGCCTTCCTGTCTCGGTCTTCTCCTCTTGGTTTCTTCTCTCTAATCTCTCTCCTCTCTCTTCTGGTTGTACCCTCCTCCTCACTCTGTCTATCTCTCGGTTCACAACACTCTTCATCCATCTTCTGTCCCTGTCCTCTGTCGATCTTCCCCTCTCCCCCCTGCCGGTTCTCTCTCTTTACTTGCTGGCTCTCCTCCCTCCTGGGATGTCCCTTTCCCCGTGCTCCCCCTACCTCCACCACTCATCCTTCTAGCTTGTAGTTCTTTGTGTTCTCTCCCTCTCCCTCCCTCTGTCACGCTACCCTATAATGGGTGTGCTTTCTGTAGTGAAGCCTCTATAGCTCTGGTGTCGCACTCCCTGATCATTTGCAACCTACTCTGCTTCTCTGACTTCACCGCACCCCATCTCCCGAAACTACTATGCTCACCCTCACCCTCTCCTGACCAGCTGGGTCCGGTGTACACTACACTCTCCTCCTACCCCTCTCCCACCACACCCCTGACCAACAAAACCAACCACAATAACGTGGGTTGGGCTTAAAAACCCACCCATCCCCCAACCCTACACCATCACGCACCACAGACCCCAAAACCTCGATCTCTCCCCAAAATAACAACACCCCCGTCTGTTCTCCCTTCCTCCCCTCACCACTTATCTCCCTCTCTAGCTCGATCCTCCCCCCACACTCCCCTCCTGCTCCTGTACAACATACGGCCACTACCCCCCTACCCTTCCTCACGTCTCTTGCTCCCGCCCTACTCTGTACCCGCGTCTCTGGGCCGCCTTTCCCTCGCGGTTATCTGACCGCTCCTGTAGCCCATCCCTCTCTCCTTCCATCCTATTCACTACCTGTCCTTCATCGATCCTCCATACCCCTCTCACCCTTACAGTACAAACCGGCTGGGTACCTCTTTCTATCGGTTCGTCTCTCTCACCTCTGATCTCCTCTCTAGCTCGCCTCGCTCTCGCTCTATAGCCTATCGCTTGGTCTTTCATCACATACCGCCGGGGGTGGGGGAATGGTTCCCTCGCTGTGTATCTTCTAACGAATGTGTTTCCGACGCTAGGATCCAAGAGGTGTCGATCTAAGTCGGGGTCTCTGAGTTCGCAGCAGCGGTCTCTATCCCTCCCTGCGAGTGGCGTCTCTTCCCTCGCTGTCTCTCTCACTCCTTCGCTGTCTCTCTCCCTCTCTCTCTCCCTCTGTATCCCTCTCTCGCTCGCTCCCTCTGTTATCTCTATCTCTCTCCTCTCTCCTCTCTCTCTCTCTCTCTCTCTCTCTCTCTCTCTCTCTCTCTCTCTCTCTCTCTCTCTCTCTCTCCTCTCTCTCTCTTCTCTCTCTCTCTCTCTCTCTCTCTCTCTCTCTCTCTCTCTCTCTCTCTCTCTCATCTCTTCTCTCCTCTCTCTCTCTCTCCACCTCTCTCCCCTCTCTCTCTCCCCCCTCTCTCCCTCTCTCTCTCTCTCTCTCTCCCTCTCCCTCCCCCCCTCTCCCCCTCTCTCTCTATACTGTACAGCATATTTACATACACATGAATGACACAGTGATCTTAATAACCATGTTGCCTCCTGCACTACCACTACTACTTTACCAACACTTCATGAAACTATTCTAATCATTCCGATGTGACGTCACAGTCGGTGAAGTTTGTGAGAGTCATTTGAAAAACCAATCAGAAAGAACACGGTCGAACTCTGTCAAAAGTCATGTTCTGTTCCTAAAGTCCAACAACACAACATGAATTGGATCAAGTCAAGACTCCGCACAGTGCAACACAAATCTCTTCTTGTTCTCGGAAGAAGGAGTTTTGCAAAAGACCAAAATAAACCACTTTCAAGTCACTACAGAATTCCTGCAAATTCTGTAGTGACGTGAAGAGCTCCTTAACGAAGTTTCTCTCCTCCTCAGACCAGAGCGAACGTGAGAGCTTCTTTTGTGCGGTACAATCACAGCCTGTTGTGTATTTAGTGTTGTGTGTGTGTGTGTGTGTGTGTGTGTGTGTGTGTTTGCAGGGGCTGAAAACAAATCCTTTCATTATTTAATCTGAGGCATCTAACTTTTCCCCATTTTTCCACACATCTAGTTTGTCTCAACCGTTAATCATCTTGTAAAATATTGTGACACGTGGGCACAAAATGTAAAAATTGTGTGTATTTTTGTTTTTATGAGAGAAAAAATAATGAAGTGAATCAGAATTTGAAAAAAAAATTGGGATTGTTATGTAAAAAATGGTTGTCCGTCCTTAAAGAGACTAAAATGTAACTGTGTATTTCATTGAGACCATTAGTCCTTCCAGCTGTCAATCATTCTGGTGCTCGTCCAATGAGAAAGTGGAGAGGGCGGGTCTTTCCTAGTGTTTGTGAAAATCCTAAATCTATAAACGATCCTGAGTCAGAATATTTTTCAGTTCCTGGCCCTAGAGAAGGAGCCAATTGTGCATGTTTAGTGGAAACCGGAGCGCCTGGAGGAAATCTGTGGGGCTGGTTTGGACAAGCCTTGTTTAAAGAAGTCTGTGAGCTATCTTTACACTGCAAAAAATGAAAACAAATTAGGTCATTAATGCTAAAATCAAGTGTAAAATCAAGAACTTTTCCCTAATTTTCTTATTCCTTGTATTTTCTTTTGATCATTTTTCTTCGTCCCATCGTCAAATCTGGTCAAAAAGTGCTCAAATTAAGATACATTTTGCCAAATTTATTGATCTCTGACGGAGAAGTGCACACGTCACATTTGGCACAGACAGAATCACTCAGATTGTGCAAAAAGACAGAAGTGTGCAACAAGTTAAAGGTCAAAAATAGGGTCTGCGCAGGATATAATTATGTGCAATAAAAGAAAAAGTGGCAAAGTGCATTAGTGACTTATTGTACAGTCTGACAGCTTTGGGCTTTGAAGAATAGCTTTTCTCTCTCTCCAGCCTCGTTCTAGATGTGACTCAGTGACCTGGAGCCTCCCTCAGTACAACATGTGTTTGTAATTATCGACCACCTCAGTCCTCCCCCCCGTCCTCTCACATGAATGGACTCTTCCACCTGCGCTGATCCCAAAGGCCTAGGGCTAAAATAACTCACAAATTATGGAAATTTGTTATGCCGGGCGTTACGTAACTTGGCGTACGGAGGCCAACCTCGCAGTAAAAACAGCTCCAGTTGTAAAAGGAAAGAAAAAAAAGAAAGAGAAAGTTATCAATAAAAAAGTTTGCGGTAGGTCAAAGACAAGTGTAACGTACATACCACACATACCAAAGACACCGCGGAGCCCGGCGTTAGTCATTGACGTCGTTAAAGGCAACAGAACGTGACTTTTAAATGAGTCAGGCAAACATTTTTATAGAGTAAGACTTTTTGGTAGTGTAAAAATAGTGTTGAATTAATTTGTTTTTGCAAGACGAATGCTTGAGTGCGTTGCTAAAAGAGGAGGGCTTCTTATAATGTCAATATATGTCATTTTTAGAACGAGATAAGGCCGAGATGTATTTATTTTTGCCTCACGGGAAGTCGAGAGGAAGTTACTGCCTCAGCTCGGCCACAAACACATTTTGTTAAAGGAGCAGTGTGTAAAAATGTGGCCAAAAGTGGTCCTCTCCCACTCTCCCTGACTCAGGTTGCCAGATATGCAGACGAATCCAGCTGGGACCATAACAGCTGAATAGACAAGAGTTTAGTCAACAACAAATCTATAACCAACACCTTTTTCACAAAGATAGAAATCCTGGTTTTATTCCTTGTTTTGTTGTTAATGATTTGAGAATCATAACGAGACCTTTTTTAGTTCTGCACCACATGGTACTTTACCAGTGAGATTAGCTCCATGCGGTGAGTTCTGGCGCCCGGATCACGGACTTTCTGATTGGTCAAACGGTGGAGGGCAGGACATCGAAATGAAAACAAAAACAAGATTTAGGGGCTGTAAAACTGAATTTGAAACCCAAATATCTTGGCTAAACTTTTCTTATCAGTTAAAGAAGGTTTATTATTATTGCCTTTTGACAGATAGGGGCCTTTAATAACGAGTTAACATGAAAATCTCACATATTGCTACTTTAAACTGTTGCTCCATCATTAAAGTTACATTAAGAATCATTTTAAAGCTGGGAATCTGCAGTCTTATCATCCACGCATCTCTCAAGTTCACATTGTCATCCAGCCAACTTCAGCTCTGCTCTTATACACACGCCACAATCATGATCTACAAGTCAATCCCAACAATTTGTGAATATTTAGTGTACTTTTTTTTTTTTTTTTACTGTGGACACAAAATGCAGAAATGGATTTAGGTATTTTCAGATTCAGATTCATTTTATTTGCCATTTGTAGTAAAACCACACTGGAAAAACTGTGCAAGACTACTCCAATGTGTTCCAGACAGAGAAGAAAGCCAAGAGAAAGACCAGTGGGAGCAGAATAACAATATGAGTTGTGCAATACAAATAAACTTGGATTTCATTTCAAAGAGGAGAACAAATGTATTAGTATTGTATGTTTGCAGTGGCTGAAAACAAGATTCATCCACTTTTTTCCCATTTTTCACACATGTAGTTTGTCCCAACACAAATGATCTTGTAAAGTATTATGACTGTGGACACAAAATGTAGAAATGTATGTATTTATTTTCATATGAGAAAAAAAAATCAATAGGAAAAACAGAATTATAAAAAAATACATGCGACAAAAAATGGCTTTAAATCCTTGGCAGAAAGAGGACAAAACATGAACGCAATCAATGGATACTCTGTGCCACCTGGACTAATATACTATGACTATAATTATTATATATTTGATACATTTTGACATTTTCTCCAAACATTATGTCGCAAAGGTCTACTCTGCACACTTCAAAAACAAAAGTTGATTCATTAATGGTATGTCCCCTTTAAAACGCACTAATAGGAAACGTAGCAGACTCTATAATAGATTGGAATGTGAGTGACGGTGTCTTGCTTAAGGACACATTGTCATCGCAGAGAGAATAAATCAAACCAGCGTCTTTTGAACTCTTTGACAGGATCAGAACGTGCTAATGACAGACCGTAGACGACAATAACAAATGCCTCGTCGTTTGCCAAAAAAAATGAGAGTGATTTATGAGGACGTTACATCAGTGCATTGTCATGACGTAGCATTAAAGTAGAAACATGGAAGATTTTCATGGCCAGTTATCATTAAAGGGCCCTAATCTGTCAAAATAATAACTTTTCCAATGCTTCTTTAACTTATAACAGTAGTTCAGAGATATTTGAACTTCCCCTAAATCTTGTTTTTGTTTTCATTTCGATGTTCCCTTCTGAATCTCAAATCAGAAGGAATAAAAGCAGGATTTCTATCTTTGTGAAAAAGGTGTTGGTTATAGATTTGTTGTAGGGCTGGGCGATTAATCGATTTTAATCATTAATTCGAGTTATACGTTTAGGGCGATTTCTTTTTTTAAAAATTCGATTTTTATTTTCTCCAGCGCAGAACTACAGCGCTAACGCGCTAACCGCGGGTCTATGGTGTTGAACAGTCATTTTGAAGCTAACCTAATGCTAACAGTCTCCCTCTGGCCT